ACAGTTTCGGTGAATTCTGTGGCTGAGCTCGGAGGTGTGTTGTTTTCAATGCAAAGGCATTATCGATGCAGATTACTCTTCCAGAACCATGAATGCTTTCCCACAGACCTTTTTTGAATGACTCTTACTGAATTTAGATCGAGATAAGCCCACCTGGTAGCGATACTTTCAATTGTAAGGAACTAAAATTCGGTGAATGTGGCTCGGCTCCCCTTAGGTTACTGGCCCAGAAAACCTGATGCTGGAATGTCTAGGTAATTTACAAACCACCCTTGGCTAATACCAAGCATTGGACGTCCGCGGTGACCAATCTTCTTCAATCCACCAGCGTTGAGATTCGAGCTTGCGAGTCTCATATGGTAATCGTCGAGCATCACCCAGTGTGCTCCTTATAGGATTGACAATATTACATCTCACATTGTACATTTCCGCTTCCAATTTCCGCAAGCCAAGGAGGACCAGGACAGAGGGAACATTGTTGTAAGTTGCAAAAGGAAGCTTAATTTTCTTATTTCGGAGGGATAAAATGAGGCCATATATACAGCATGAAGTCCAAGTTGATTTCCAATCAACTTGGAACTTCGTATAGATAGTGCAGGAATTATTTCCGATGTTGCGGCTTCTTTCCTGAGCAGCAAAAGCCTCAAATCACAACAAACTTGAATGGGCAATAGAGAATAAAGGCACCCAACAAGGCGCTGGTAGTCCATGACAGTCCTATCTTGTCTCTATGCACAGTCTGCGCGCCGTGTATTGCTATGTGCTCCTTGTCTCCGCTTATGGCTGAGTGCAGTTCAGGTATTAGCAAGCTTCTCACGCTAGCAAGCCTCAACATGGAGAAACCTGGCACCGCTGCCGTTACCGCTTCCGCCTTTGTTGATATGCCGAAAGCGTGCCCGACGCGACGCGTTTCGTCCACCTAAAACTTTGAGCAGCCCCAACCTCAGCTCAGTGGGAGATTTCGTCTCTCACAGCAGCAGTCATTCTCAAAGAATGAGCCTCAAGTGCTGCTAGTGGTCTTGCAATGCAGCAGACGTGATAAAATATCACCGCCAGGGCCTTGGTCTTCCAATTTCACACCTCGCTCGGTCGAGTTTCTGTCCACGTCTAGTCTGCAAAATATCGTTTTGAACGCTGAAAGAAATACAATGAATGAGGGTGGGTTAAGCTTCTTTTGAAGAATAAAAGAATGATAGTAAACTTTGGACGTCGCCTAAGATGGACCATTCTTCTCGTTGTTTCATCAAACTGACACTCCTTGATCTAGGTAGGGATAATTAGTCTTTCTCTACGAGTATGTCGATACGTCGACCACTCTCCGATCCCAGTAACATCCAGAGCTGGTGAGCCGTGTCTAAATCTCTCCTTTCTTCAGGGTTTAGCATTTCCAAAGCGACAAGTTTCGGTCGTCCCAGAATTCGAATGGATATTTCTCTTACTCAACTTAGCTCCCGCGAGCTTCATCACGCTCTGCTTTAACCACACGGTGCGACGCACATCTTAGTACAAGACTTCGGTTTTGAGGGAGATATCTGCATTATCAATACGGACCTCATGGCAGTCTAGCAATACTCTACTAAACTCAGTTGAGTAACCAATAATACCCGGCCCAGTTCGGGCTTAGTTTCCAGTTTTATCAACAGCAGTGCTCCTGTCTGAGTAAAGCAAGACTAGTTCCGGCGGCAGACTCTTTCTCACATCGGACAATTACCATATTAAAAGCTTGAAGGCCCGGAACACTTTAACGATGACGCCCGCCAAGAAAGGTCCGCATGTATAGACAAATGAGGATCTTTGAAGCAGTGCGCATTGTATTTAGAGATGGAATGACGACAAAGATTACAAGGTTTTCTGAAATGGCGAAGAAACGCTGTTGAGGAGGCCCGTGCATTTGACTGAGTCCCATGCATCCCCAGTCCACGTTGCATGACTCCATTGGTTTGATAGACTTTGCATGGCGCATATTAATTCAGCACCAATCGGTCAAGAGAATATGTTAAGTCAATTCTCTTCCCATTATAAGAAGAAGCAAAGATTCAAGCACCCCTGCCTCAGTCGTGAATTCAACAAGATTTTCCGTCAACATGGACAACGTTCAGCCGCGCAGCTACCAACTTGAAATGTTTGACTTAAGCATGAAGGAAAATATAATAGCTGTCGTAAGATCTATGCCCGACTACGTCTATCCTGTACCCGAGTTTAAAGCTGAGATGATTAGATGCCCACGGGAAGCGGAAAAACTTACATGTATGCCCTACACCATTATTTGCCCCATGGCCCTCGAGATGACCTTGCAGCTAGAGCTAGTATGCGAATCATGGCGGAACTGGAACGCTGTCAGAAACATCAGGTAAGCAAATTCTAGGACCGAAATTGGACTAGGTATTGACTCCATGAGATGGTGTGGTTCCTGGCACCGACAAAAGTCTTGTGTAGCCAACAGTTGGCTTATCTTTCACAACACATGCCCGCAGTCAGCATGAGAGCGCTGACAGGGGATGATGGAGTCGACTGCTGGAGCAACCAAGCTATATGGAACAGAGCCCTCGATGGCATGAAAGTGGTTATCTCTACCCATGCTGTACTTGCGGATGCGCTCACGCACGGTTTCATTCAACTGCCGCAACTAGCGCTGATAGTTTTCGATGAGGGTATGAGCTGCAAAGACAAACATGTACTAAAGATCTAACAGTGAACTAGCTCATCATTGCGTGAAGTCACATCCAGGGAACCGCATAATGCGCGACTTCTATCATAAGGTCAAAGGGGAGCATGCGACCGTACCCAGCATCCTTGGACTAACAGCCGCAGTTGATGTAGCAAAAATTGGGTAGGCCGAGTCCTACAGCGGAACAAAATATGAGACTAATGATTTTCTAAGGCAGCTTGAACAGAATCTAGATGCGACTTGTCGAACCCCTTTGATTCAGCAGCAAGAACTGACTGCACATGTTCCTCAACGGAGTTTTACTAAGATTACCTACACCCAAAACTGCGATGACTCAGTAAACCCACCTTTATATCTGCACAAGCTTGAAAAGGTCGTCAAAAAACTACGTGAGAACGGAGAGAGAGACCGCCACGCCATTCCTAGCAATATCTCAAAGCTCCCTGCAAAAGCTCGTGCCATTTGGTGTCAATTAGGCACCTGGGCTTTACAATACTACATAAAATTGAACGTTTCACATTTTTCCAGCCACGTCGCCATGAATGAAAACTTCTCCTCGGACAGACTGCCTGATCAAGAACTAACAGCTTTAATGGCTGTTCTGAGAAGTGATCTAGAAGGTCACGTTGCCCATTTGCATGTACCTGGCAACATATCCAATAAAGTTGAACGGCTCATGTCGTTTTTGAAGGAGAAATCCCACCCAGACTTTTCGGGGATCATTTTCGTCCGGGAAAGGGTGACTGCCTATGTCCTTTCAGCTTTGCTTAATACACATCCATTGACTCAAAATGGATATCGATGCGCACCCTGTGTGAGCAGCAGTGCTCACTCTGAGTCATGGGCCAAGCATGATGCTTTACCTTTCGAAAAACTTGAGACCCTGGTTTCACAGTTCCGCAGCGGCTTGATAAATTTGATCATTGCTACCAGCGTCCTTGAGGAGGGTATCGATATCCCAGCCTGCCATCTTGTCATTTCATTTGACAGCCCAGACAACATAATATCTTTCATCCAACGCCAGGGTCGAGCACGACAGTGCGTTTCTGAAATTGCTGCGATGGAAGCAAAAGAAGCCGGATCCACGTCTGTGCATTCAACACTGTGGAGTGATCTTGAAAAGCAATTGCAAAGTATATGCCTAGACTACAGACGATGTGCTCAGACAGTGGTCGAGGAGCACTCAGAAGAGATTCTCCCATCGTTTAGGACACACACAGGGTTTGAATCCTTTTTCTTGACTTCCCCTATGTGGCTAACGCTAACAAAAGCATATTTTCTTCGCAGGGCTTTGCTGACGAGTGAAAATGCCATCCCTCACCTGTACCATTTTTGCACAACATTACAGAGTGGAAGACCTGGCGAAAGTCATCCAGCATTCTCTTACCAGAAAAACGTATCAGAACTTACTCGTTCAACGGTTTACCTGCCAAGTGGTATAGACCGTTCTTTGAGAGTTTTCGAAGGTCACCACTGGTGGAAAACCAAGCGTGCAGCCCGTCAGGATGCCGCATTTCAGTCGGTCCTGGCCTTGCACAGACAGGGTCTCATCAACGACCATCTCCTGCCATTATTTTCCGAAAATGCGGGCGTGGAAGCGGTTCATGACAGGGAAGATCTCTCAGAGCTGCCCTCAATTTCGAATTTACATAAGTTTTGGAAGGAAACCCCTGGACACTGGATGGAAAGGACGATGTACAAATGCCGCATTGATTTTGTCGAGAATGGGGAAAATCGGCCGGAATTATCAATGGCACTCTTTACGCCTGTCAAGCTACCCCTGACTGCGGATTTGAATCTTTACTGGAACGAAAAGACAACCTTCACTGCAATTTTGCAGCCTCTGAACATCGAAACGGCACTTATCCCATCCACAAGGGTCCTGATCAGGAAGATAACGACTCTACTCATCCAATCAACACGGGCACAACCTCCGCAAAGCCAGTACCCGGAGTTCCTGCCATTTTTTACTCCAGATCTTCCCCTGCAAGAGCTAGAGGAGTGGCTGCTTGTCAATCAGGGATCGTTTGTTTTACGTCCTGGACAAACTAAAATCCCGATACTCTTTCCCTCAGGATTGATTCGCAGTCCCAGCCTTCACTTTGCTCCCCATACTTTCGTGAGATGGACTCGGGAACCGGACACAAAAGAACTCTCTATTGAATGCCAAAAATTTAGCAGAAGAAAAAACCTGCTCCAGCGAGCTTCGTTATCCAGCAGACCATCATTTGAGTCAGGCGGCCCCAAAACGGCCTGTGTAGCTGCCACAGGCTGCATCATTGACTTCCTTCCTTGGGAGCTGTGTTTGGCTAGCCTCGCAATTCCACCAATTATGCAGCTTCTGCATCAATACCTGATGGCATATGACTTACGGATCAAGATCTTTAACGAATTTCCTACGATCGATTCCACCTTACTTGTGGAGGCTATAACGACGCCTGCTTCTCACTGGCCAACTAATTATCAGCAGCTAGAGTTCTTCGGTGACTCTATCCTCAAGCTTGTGGTTGCTACGCATGTGTTCTATAAGTATCCGCTGTGGCACGAAGGTTATCTGTCAAAATTCAAGGACCTGCTGGTCTCGAACGAGAGACTGACGCGGTCAGCCGTCCGTGCTCATCTCGAAAGGTTTATCTGCGCGGATTTCGTCACGTGGAAACACCCCATCTTTTCACCGATCATGGATCAAACCCGGAATAGGAGACTCCCCAGAAAAGCTTTTGCTGATGTCGTCGAAGCCCTGACGGCAGCTGCCTACGAATGTGGTGGGATTTCGCTTTCCCAACAGGTTCTTGGCATTTTTATCCCCGAAATTACGGATATCTCAAGCGCATCTCAGAGCACGCAAATGGACTACGATGCGTTCTCAGCTCACTTGAATCAGAAAATTGATCTGCTGCTGGCATTCAAGTTCAAGAACCGGGCTTTGATTTGGGAAGCACTCACGCACCCATCATGGCGAAGAGACAGCTCAACCGCATCCTATCAGCGGCTTGAATTTCTTGGGGACGCGGTTCTTGATTTTCTAGTCTCCAAAAATCTCTATAAGCGGTGTCCAAAGCTGTCCGAAGGCCGAATGTCAGAAATGCGAGCAGCTCTGGTAAATGCCGACTTCTTGGCTTTCCTTTGTATGGAACTCACCTTGCTCGAGCCATGTTGTCACAGCCCAACTTCAAGGTCGGAGGACCTGTCTGAACAGACGACCCAACCGAAAGGCATCTCCTTATGGACGTTCATGCGCCATGACGCCCCAGACATCATCAAGATTCAGGCTTCATGCAACACGCGATATCAATTACTGGGCGACAAGATCAAAAGAAACTTGGTAAATCATGTCTCGTATCCTTGGGCGATGCTGGCTCAGTTGGGGCCATCCAAGTTCTACTCAGATCTTGTCGAGAGTACAATCGGCGCAATATTTGTTGACAGTGGAGATTGCTTGGATACATGCGAGCACTTTCTAGAAAGGATTGGTTTGTTAGACTATCTGGAGCGTTTCGTGGGGCAAGAGAAACACCTCGAACACCCGATCAGCAAACTGCATCGGATTTCTGGAACGCAAACCCCGGATTTTAAATTCCAAGAGATGGATAATGGGCTTCATAGAGCTTCAGTATGGCTGAGAAGTGAGAGGATTGCGTCAGTCGAAAACTGCTCCACCAAGAGCCAGGCAATTTTGATGGCTGCAGATGCGGCCATTATATTTCTTTCTAATGCTTAAGTGGACAGCAAAAGTATGACAATCTTTGTCTGCTTCAATAATAGCATATAAGATATATGAATATATTTTTCTTGTCTTGGCTCTGAGGTATAAGAGGATCACAAGGTCTTAGCGAGTTATTATCTGTTCCATTATGAACACAGTAGATAGTATAAGCTTAGCGCTTCCCCGAAATTTCAAAGAAACTCCTAAACGGTAAGAGCGATGAGAGACTATGCGCGTTGGCCGGCTTTGGGTTCTGTGTACACCTCAAAGCCTACGCTTAGGGTTCCTAAACTATGCTAAAATTGCAAACAATGCTAACATCACTAAGCCTTTAAACTACAACTTACGTGTTGTTCTACTGGTATTTTCGAGTATTATAAAAGCAGCAATGCTCCCATCATGAGAGTTTTGTTGAAATTTGTCAGAACGAAGTAAATCCAGGTAATGTGTTTCATAGGAAGAAGAATACGGACTGTGTTTTTTCGTAGAAGTAATTAGGCCATTGCCACGTGTAAGATCACCTATGGCGCTTTTGAGGAGGCTCTTACCAAAATGGCACAGCCGAGAGATGACACGTCACCATCTGAGAAGATACACTGTCATATCATGGGCCTCTTTTGTCCTTGGGAGAGTGTAAGCGATACATTTTGCATGAATCGGGCTTCCATGCATGCGACAATGAATGCGAATTTTACCTCCTTTTTTATTTTTTCTTTTTAAAATGGAGTTTAAAAAGGTCGATGGGGGAGGTCATCCGGGTTCCATTTTCACCACTCTTCGTTATCATCGACTTGAAACTGCTCTCATTTGCCTGGCAGCATCAACATGGGCAATCCACGAGATGAGAGGCAATTAGCCGGATCTAGTGGTACTTCAATTACGTTTTTTCTCTTCGTATCAATTCAATGCTGACACCCTATAAAGACCTACTTGTTGGAAATCTTTTGCATCGCTTGTGGGTCACTTCATCCATTGCGAGCACTAGAATGTCGCGTGATGAGGTCGAAGTGAGTTCGCTTTTCCACGCTTCTCGCTGATTTTCGAACTCACGCATACGCAGAATCATGTGAATCATGATTTCCAGACATTCAACTGGAATGGGATGATGGCCTCACTTGGGAATATTCATGGCTCGAACGAGCGAAATGACAAGAGCAATGATCGAGATGATACAATCCTGTTATTAGGGCAGATCTACCGTCACTGCCCTGATTCAGAACGACCTACTCTTCTGTGGGGTCTCGCCGGTCTCTTTACATGTCCCGCCTCGGAACAGGCTTGTCATAATAGCCAAGAAATATGTTCATTGGAGCCACCGTCAGCTTCTCGCAATTTGAGCCAAACGCAACGTAAAAAAAGAGCCGGTCAGAACCGCGACCTCCATATTTATACTTCTAGACTGAATGAGATGGCTCAGAAAGAGGGGAAAACATTTCGGCGAATCAGAGAAGAAACTGTCTCATATGACCCGCCTTTCTTCGACATAACTGTTGAATACGGAGATATGACCTGTGCTGGCCAAGCTCGGACAAAGAAAGAAGCAGCACATCTAGCTGCAAAAGGGATTTGCAAAGAGTTAGATGAGAACCTATCACACTTATAACACTCACTACCAATTACCAACTTGGATTGGCAGGAATGTGAATTTGAGCCTTTTCTGGAAACCCGAAAATCCATTGAGCTATTGAGCCTTCTTCCCATACACATTTTGGTGTCTGACAAGAGGTCGCGCGCTATTCCGTCCGATTATGTTCTATGGAAAACCAGGCAGTAGATGTGTACCCGCCGGGCCAAGAAACTGTTTTGCCGTCTTGAATGAAGAATTTAGTCCGTGATCGCGTACTCCAGCAGCACAGAACTTTTGTGAAAACAATGACGGGAGAGCTCGCATCGATTCGCAGCTTGTATTGAGAACTGTGTGAAATGTCTCACACGTTGGTGATGCCCATTGCGCAGCTGGTAAGCGCCCTAGCGATCCTGAAGTGGCCATAAGGGATTCTGCGGAGGGCGCGAGCGATCTCACGGTGGATTCGTGGACCCCTGTCCAAGCGGCGTGTCTTGATTTCTGCATTAAGCTACTGAACCTAACGGGCGTCAGTATACGAATACGAATGCGCGTTAGTGTGTGCACTCATGGTGCTCGGGCGCTCCCCGATCGATGGCTGGTGCGACGCCAAAAGCTATCCCCCGATTTTATCCAGAGTATGGTTTACTTGGCTTCCGTTCTAGTGGGCTCCTTACAGAATTTCAGTCGATTGTTGACTGATCATTGTGCATGGAAACAATTTTCAGCTGCTGCGACGTGGTCAAATTAGATCTCTGTATTGGAAGTCATTGAACTCTTAGCAGAATTTGCGTATTTTTTCTCGCATTCAAATCCTACATATGCTCTAGAACATGCGCGCGCATTGATGTAAGCCAGGGACCGACTGGAGGGCAATGGAAAGAGCCTGTCGTGGCTGAGCCCAATTGGATACCTGCATGGCTACCTAATCTAGCTTGATGTGCAAATTGAATCTGGGGCGGTACGAGATTTCTTCCATGTCGGGTTGCCTTCGGTATCGCAGTATAATGATAGAGGGATGAATTTTCCAATTACATACGCTATATATACCTGGTTTTGGATCGCGAAGTCGCAGTTCTCTCTGTTCATTTGGACCACACCTGTGGAGGGAGTTGATGATGGAATCGTGGTCACCGGGCCTTTGCGGGTCCTGGACCAACGTGGCTCGTTTTCAAAGCACCCTTGAAACTCCATCCGAGCCAAAGGAAGGGTCCGTCAGATATCTTCCGACCGATACAATTCCGACGACTCGCGAGACCTCTGTCTCATACACCGCCATTGCATATCAAGGATTCCCAGGAGACCCTACGCACCTTGCCCTGACGATAACTCCGTCTGCTTCTCTTCAGGAATTAATTGACGCGAATGTACCTCTATAGAGTGCCGCATGCGACGAATTCCTAGCGAAGGAAGGCGGGGTGCTGGGTGTAAACTGGTGGTTCGGCATTACGAATCTGGCCACTGAGCCTAGAGTTGTGGTTGATACTAAGAGTTCTGGGTCCATAGCTTACTGTGCGGTGACAACGGACGGCTGGGAAGCTGAAGAAGCTGAGATGCCTTCAGCTGAACCGCTCTCCGGATCCTCCGATGATGGATTGTATTACTGTCAATATGAGGGATGTAAACGACCAAATGGCTATGCCCTTAAATGTCAACTAAGGTATGTTTCACATCCTAGTTAGTGGTTCATCATCTAATAAGGCCCAGGAAACATATACGGACACATACCCGGCCAGTCCAGTGTCCTCAGTGCCGATACGCTGCAGCTGATAAAAAAGGCTTTATTCGGCATGTTAAGGCTGCTCATAGGGCATTTGCCCAGGCACTTTGTGGGCCAAATCAGCACCGTGTCTGTCCCATTTGCCAGACAAGCTTCACACGTAAAGACAACCTTCGAAAACACTGCAAAGCACAACACAGTCGTTAGATGAGACACCCAAAAATTACTTGAAAACATCCGACATACTGTGTACTTCTTTCATTTTCACATTCTTCCTTCATAGCCCTTCACACCTTGTTCGTTTGTCGTTGGGGCTAAGGGCGCGATCTTTGCGTGGATCAATCTACAGGTGATGAAATTTGTTTATGTTTGCGGGACAATTGTTTAAGGTGAAGACGGGAATTATCTCTTTTCGCAATGAGAAAGAGAATTCTGTAGATGTGCACAGCACACATAAGATTTGAAAAACACTGAACCTTCCTAACTCAGCTTAGGGTTGTTAAAGGCTTTACGGAGCAGTCATCCGCTGAACTGAATTTCAGTGCATACTGATATATAAAGCAGACAAACTTCTTCTGGTTGACCTAAACAGTGATTTTTGGTGTCATATGTTAATGCCCGACATTGATGCTTAGTGTCTCGGGCATCAATCTACATTTATTCACCTGTATTCGACATAGTTTTTTCGCTGTCTCCCTTCTCGTAATTCCTTCTCTTGATTATTACTCGCTTTGTTTGAATGAACGTATGTTGGGTTGGTAGCTTCGTTCTTGAGGTGTGAAAATAGTCAGCATGATCGGTCTTTGAGCGCTGTTGTTTTTTGACAGATTACGTAGACGAAAACGAACTTTTCTATATGGGTTACATTTGTATATTCATTTGGCTAGCACGTTGAACAAAGCTCCTAGCAGCTATGCTTTTTGGTTTATATTTGACCTCAAGATAAGTGACGTTCAGTACACTATCAAGATCATGCGGGTGGCCCACCATGCGGGAGGCCCACCATGCGGGAGGCCCACCATGCGGGAGGCCCACCATGCGGGAGGCCCACCATGCGAGAGGCCCACCATGCTATGCGGGAAGAAAAAAGATACTTACATCAGGTAACGCGATTACGGAGTATCAAACTTCCCGTGGTAATAGCCTAACGGGAAGATAATCTCATACTTACTCATTAAATCTCCGAGTTCTTATTCCGTACCTGAATTACTACTGTATCCCAAGTCACAATCCTACGTGAGCGCTCATCTAGCTATAATGGAGGCTTTCATCGCTGCCGCCTTGGCGTTCTAATTCCTCTGGCCCAGTGGATTCTTCCACAATGATCATTTGTACGCAACACTGACCGAGAACCCTTCTAAAAGTTCTAGGTCACATAAATCAAACGTACTATCTCTGATCATTTTGCATATCGATGTATTGTATATCAGATTTCGCGTTTGAGGATGACGAGTCACTAGCAAAGCGCCTGTGGAGGTACGCCGCTGACAATTGGCAGACGATTATCATTGCTCACTTAACGGAATGTGTGAATAAGTATCCGCCACTATTGTAGTATTTATGATCAAAATATGATGAATAAAGGTCCATTTTTGCTTCTGCGTTTCTCCCTTGGTAAAAGATACACAGTGCCAGGATGCTTAGAATAATCCTCCGGGTGTGTCTAGTATTGATGCAGTATAATCAAAAAGAGAGACCCCGCCATATTCCTCATCAGAAACGTCATCAAAATCCGCTTCTCCCTCCAAGATGTGGGGAATTGCTGTCTCAGGGGGGCTGTTGAATCTGTTTGGATGAGTTGATAATAATATAATTGGAGAGGATTTTGTAGTCGTTGCGTTGGATACCCCGAACGAGACGGAAGAAATCATGTCAGGGCATCGGACATTCGTGATGTTTGTTATTGAGTCCGGGTGCCAGCGATTCGATGGTGAGCGTTGTAGAACATGGGTAATCACGTGACTGCGCAGGTCTCCGGTCATCTTGTTCAGTATATCCCTTTGTTGCCTGGAGGCGGGGTTTTTGCTGTCAAAATGATTCAAATGTGGAGAACTCCAATTCGTCCAAATCTTGCGATGACAACAAGATAACATCACACGGGCCGGATGATAGTTGAAGTACATTTCGCAGCATAAGCATGCTGGCTTACTACAAGCGATGAAACGGTCCTCGCCCGCAAATGACTTCCCCATGCTGTGGAAGTGCTCCAACACCTGGACCTCGGCATGAACTTCGGGAGAGGAATGTTCATATTGATGCAGGAACTTTTGGAAGACCCCAGCCACCTTGTTCAAGTGGAGAAGACCACCTTCGACCTGTGGCCTTTCTTCATCACCTTTCCTAAACATTCGGTTCAGAATCCCTCGAAGATTGACGTGTGAATCGCGGATAGGCGGAGGTACGGCAGATGGCGCGTCAATAACATAAATTGCATGATTATCAAGGACGTGACTTAGGGCCTCCGTGTCCTCAATCAGCTGTTTTGGAGCCCGTATATGGTGAGCAAGTCGGCCGATATAATGTCGCACTAAGAAAAACGACGAGCGTTTCCCTGTAGGGTCCCGCCGTGCCTCTTCTTCCATGCTCCGGTCATAGAGCTCGCTGACCTGATCTGAATGGCGAGTTTTATACGCGAATTTGCAGAGCTGGAAATGATTATCGAAGCTCATGGCCATTTCCAGCCACTCCACGACCTCTGAATCTGTAATTCGATCAATGACTTATGAGAGGGTTCCTCAAGATAAACGAAAGAAAGGCGGAATGCACCGGATCCCACAGTTTGTCCTTTCAGCCTAGAAAGACAATCCTTTACGCCTCTGCGAAGACATTTCTTTTCCCCTTCGATGCGTTCAGCAGCAAACTCAATGCACAGCTGTAAGAAGCTCGAATCCTCGTAATCGTGATTTGTGCCAGTCCGGCGGGATAAATCTTCCAGAGTACTAAGGGCGGTTTTGAGAAATGCGGCGATTTTGCCAGTCTCTCTGTTGGAAGCGACACAGAAATTGTAGCACGTATCGAGCTCCTCGAGGCCGACTGCAGTGCATGCGCTGCCTCCTTTTTTGAAGTCGCATATGTAACAAAGGTTTTGAAGAAATCGACGGGCTTTAGCTCGGCGGTCATCAGGCTCAAATGGTGGAAAGGTGTGGTTGCCCCGAGTCTGTCCAAGTGCATTCAAAAGAAACAACTGCTCGTAAAATCGACTCAGAAGCCGCGTGAAAGGGTCAAGTCTTGGCTGACCGACACGGTCTGGATTGATATCCAGATCTCTACCTAGTTCCGTGGAATCCATATTCCTATTCTAAGTATGTTCCGGTAAATAGAAGACTTGAGTCTGTAATGGAAATAAGATAGGAAATATGGCCAATTTATACGGAAAAGTGACAATTTTCGCGCTGAAGCAAAGGACGATGCTAAGATTCCAAGTGAACGATCGGCCAAGAACGATAAGGCCTCCATGCAGCCATGCAAGAGGCCGCCATGCGAGACGCTGGGTACTGCAGTAGATTTATGAAACGATTAATTATTCAATAATTGACTAAGAGACGCGAAGCCCCAGGTTTTCAATGCTTTCAAAATCAGCGCTTATTTATGGCGCTACCAGATTTCATAATCTCTTAGCTGGCTGCAATTGGAATTATCACGGCTAAATGGTGGTGATGGATGGAGCCTTAGTGGGAGCTAATAGTCACACCACCTTGTTTTGCCACTGCAATACAGAAGTTCTAGCGTCTCTTTCATGAGAGGGGGGGGGGGGGGGGGGCACACAAGTAGCTATTGCTTTTTTGGGTGTCCAGCTTTAGCCAGGTTTCCGGAGTGAGAATGACGTTATTAGCAGGCCTGTCGCTATGCCGATGTGCTCACCACTACTCTTGGGAGCATAGGCTTAAGCAGTAAACTTTTTGCTTGCATACTATTTTACTGACGCGTTGTAGGCCTGGAACGGCGCAAGCGACAGGTAACACTGCGCAAGCTGCAGCGGTGAACGAGTTTACGGTCATCCTGAGACAATGTGACTGAGTCACTGCCTGCATGACAAACCAGAACTTCAAATGGACAAGACGACATAGACAGTAACATGACTAATAATAACAATAAGTGGAACAAGGCTGCGTTTTCCCCCCAAGAGCTCTACCACGTACCAGCTGTCAAGCAATCTATTATTGCGCCGCGAAAGTCTCACCGCCGCGCGATTAACTGCGTGAATCTTTCGTCACTTTGAACCAGATCCGCTGTAGACAGTATGGAAATAAAGAAAAGTAACAGTAGAATCCGTCCTAGTGGCGAATTAAACGGGTATGTATATACAGCGCTCATTGTTACCTGCTAGAATCGTTTACAGTATCAGGTCTCGCCGCTTCGTGTGGTGATTTGTTCAACGAAGCTTTGGTATTGGGCAACACTAGGAAAGGCGGACACGTCCAAACAGCGGATCCTTTTAGATCAAGCAATGACCCGATCGATCAATCATATGGCGGCACAGCACATAGCAGCATATCCAATAGATTACTTTTAATAACGGCTATTAGGCCACGAATAAATCCACCTAGGGCTATTCACCACCACAGACCAGCCCGTGTGTTCTGAAGTCGTGTGAGACGTGTTCAAAAGTAAGGCTGCAGTGCCAGCCGCCCCTATCCAATACGGAAAAATATCAGAGCCCTGTTGAAGTGAACGACCTTGCCTTTACCTACAACTAAGGCGTATTGTCCAGGCAACGAGCCGACGAGTGCTTGCGTATTGCCTGCACCTGCAACGTGTTTTACGCCACGCCACGCGCCACTATAGAGGGTTCTATTGGTCAGATAGCTAGAGTAGTCGTATATGCAAACCGTAAAAGTACGAAAGTATTTTATGATGCTCACACGAAAATGATTAATTTTCGTTGTTGATTTGATGAGAGTTGAAAATTGCATTCAGTACGGGGTTTTGTGATGGCCAGGGTGACCGGAAACTACATTACCAAAAAGACTTGAATTATGGCTCACTATCCATCTTTGACTTAACCAGTGCGTGATACTTCAAAGCGATAGCCAACAGGTTCACATAATCGATCTAGATACCCCAGTCCCACATGTCCAGCAGGTCAGTAGGCAACACTCCCCTCACAATTCCGCCTTGCTCCCGCAATTCTAGCTCTTCGCTATCGACTCCCCGGACAATCTCAAATTTTCCCATACTTCTCGCAAACGCCACTATTCTCTTCAGGAGAGCAGCAAACCTAACCAAAGCCTCCTGGTTCTCCTCTTCCCATTCTTTTATAGCTTGGGTCGTATCACGAACCTCAATCGACTTAAAAACACCAAATTCGTGATGCGCCAGCATGAAATTTGGAATCTGCGCGACCCACAGCCTAGGCAGCTCCTCCTGCAGCGTGTCAACATGCCTTTTCTTGAGCGATCGAGTCTTCAAATCAAAAATAACACATTGTGGAATGCTTCGGCCCCTTCTTTCGATCCTGAGAGCCTCGCTGGTTTCTTTCTTGTCAGCTAGGCATACTGATGACACAGCAGCGTTGGCCATAGACTTGAGCAGCTCATTCTCTGTGTTGGAGCCAGTCTCACTAGACTCAGAAACAAAACCTGAGCCAGGATTCAATGGTTCCAGTTCGAATTTATGCTCATGATCATGAACGCGCTCGTTCAAGAATCCATCCACCTCGAATCTAACCAAAATCTTCGGTGTCGAAAACTCGTAACTCACAACCCGTTGGTGAGATTCCGAGCCTCGCACCGTAGAGCTCCAGGCAGTATAGGCTTCTGGAAATGAATGTCCATACCCCCGAACATCTGGAATGGTCTCCAAAGGTGAATTCTCTCGCCTGGTGAAGAAAACAGTGTCCCCAATGGCTTCGATGAGGATTCTGAAAGCCTTATCTGAGCCCCGTGCAAAGCGGAGCAAATTCCCCATTGTACTGCCGCAAGCAATGATATCGCTTCCTTGAAGATTGTATTCGGGTTTCTCCGTTTGAATGGCTCGGATGATGGGCTCCATGGGGTAACTTGGGTGGCGGGAGGCATTTTGGTCGCGATAGTAGGTACCAGAGTCTTCGCGGAGTTTATGAGGGATTTGCAGGGGTGTGAAAATGGGCGGTTCGCCTGATCCATATGAACTGGTTAAAGAGATCATAAGTCGACAGAATGTAAGGGAGTAGGTATATACCTGGAACAAGAATGGTACCAGTGCTTCTGTCCAGCCAGTTGTAAGATATCAGGTATTCACTGTGGACGATTTGAGCTGGCCCAGTTTCTTCATCGGCCAAATCTTCCAAGTCTCCGAAGGATATTGTTGTCTGAAGATCGCCTAGTGGAGGCGGGCCATGACGGTTTCGAGTTATGCCTCGCGGGTTCCGGTGGCCCCCTCCTCTGGCTCGTCCCCTCCACGGCTGACGATTAAAGTGCGACATTTAGCTATAATTGATTTCAGGGTCATTCGCAGATGGAATGTAGATCTCAAGGATGACCAAGTTTCAAAGAGTGGGCGTACGTTACACGCCAACATTTATAGGGTATACATATGCACTTCTCTGCTCCTCACACCCTTACTACCTCATTGCCTTGCCACGTCACTGTTCCAAACGCAGTGCGGATGCTCATCACTTGCATACTGGGCAAGTACTCGTAGGAAGGCGCGTATTAGAAAAGTGCGACAACAGGTGCCTAACCACTCAGCGTAGCGTCCGCTGCCTGGTTTAATCATTGGCCCACCAACGCTAAACGCTCCCCCTCCCAAATCTAGCTCGTTTAAAATAAGTCGACTGCTATTTAATACTTCTAAACTCGAAGCACACACTTTCTCCCACAAAATTAAGTAAGTAATCATGCCAGAGCCAGATTTTCGATCGGCGCGACACGCCAAGTTCTACAGAGATATTCTCTATGGCAGAGAATCGGTCAACGATGTCTACGGCTTCAAACGATTCCTTGAGGGACTTTTCACTCAAGAAGACCCCGTTGGAGTAGTTGAGAAGCTCATCGCAAGTCCCAATGCTCTGGCGGCCATTCGGAACGGTTTGCGACTTGACATCACTCCGGTCTTCATCAACAAGTACACTGCAAGGTTCGTTCGTTACTTGAACGATCCGAAGGTCAAACTGCTTTGCAATGGCCAGTTTCTGGAGCAGCTTCTGGTGATTATCGTTGAACCCCGAACCGTGTGGGCAGGACTTTTGAAAGCCTTCTTCTGTCACGAACTGGACCAGGACGCTATGCACGCCCTGGCTTGGCTGACAACGGAGCTTCTAGCATTGCCTAAGTCTTCTGGAGTAGACATCAGAGACGATGCCCACAAATTTGCACACGATAGCTTGATTTTGAATTCATCATCGATGGATTTGCAGAACTTTGGGCATAGAATCAAGTTCCTTCTGCAGATGAAGTCGTCAGACGCAACAATTTTTCAGCATGGAGGTACTGCTGGGGGACGGCATGACAACGATTTTCTTGATTTTCGCCAGATTACCGTTCTTCCGACCGCGGGTGAGTTCTTGTGCACTGAGAAACCCTTCTATCGTCGCGCCGAGGAGATCTTGGAACTGAAGGGCGATGAGCGTGTTGCGGCGCACCTCGACAATCAATTTCGTCTCCTGCGAGAGGACATGTTGTCCGAACTTCGCGACGATGTCCAGGTTGCGCAGGGAAAGAAAAAGGGTCGTCGGTCGAAACTCCGCTTGGGAAGTCTTTCTTTGCATTCTATCTACTGCCGGCCTACTGGGCAAAGACGTTTCAGCCCCTTTTCCATTGGAGTTGGCTGGAAATCAGGCCTGGAGAGCTTTCAAAAGATGAAATCAGACGATCGTAAAGTTCATATGAAGAACAACTCGCAGATTCTCAAGCACAAGGCTCTGGGATGTCTGCTTCGCGGGGACGAGATTATCGCATTTGCATCCATCGATAGAGATATCGAAACACTTGCTCTTCCAGCCCCAGTCCTCAGGTTACATGTGATGGGAGAACAGGCGTTAAAAAAATGTTTGTTATACTTAAAGATCTACAAAGATGTGGACTTTCTGCTTGTCGAAGCACCCATCTTCGCCTATGCGCCCATTTTGAAGCGACTCCAGGGGATGGTGGGCCTTCCCCTCAAGAGGGAATTGTTTCTCTACGAGAAGGAGGATCCCATCGCAGGCTCGGGACTAGTGCCTCTGGATTTCGTCCAGAGCCTGGAGACCATGGCCAATAGAGATATTTCAAGCCTTCTGCGAACGGCAAGCCCGGTGCGTCTTGACCAGTCGCAGCTCCGTTCTTTACTGGCAGGTCTCACCCAGAATGTCAGCCTTATACAGGGCCCTCCAGGTATGACATTATTTACCTTTTTCTCTTCCTTTCGGATCTGTATGTCACTAATAGATGTCCTAGGTACTGGGAAGTCGTTCATCGGCGCACTTCTTACTAAAGTCTTTCATGACCAGACACAGGACACGATACTCGTGATGTGCTATACCAACCATGCCTTGGATCAGTTCCTGGAAGACCTTCTGGACATTGGAATTGATGCCTCTTCCATTGTTCGACTAGGCTCCAAGTCAACGCAGCGTACACGTCCGCTAGCCATATCGGAACAAAGGTCTAACTTCAAGAGATCTCGCACTTCATGGGATGTCATTCGCAGGCTAGAGAACATCGCAATGGACAAGGAATCTGAATTGGTAGAGTCTTTGATGAACTACAAGCGAACAGGGTCGGATGTCTTGTCGATCTTGGAGTACCTTGAGTTTGAGGATGTTGATGCCTTCGAGGCTCTCAGCCTACCTGATGATAGTTCAGGTATGGAAATGGTCGGTAAGCAAGGCAAGACTCTCAAGGATGATTACCTCTATGCCCGATGGGTCCGAGGTGAAGATGCTGGGGTTTTCCAAGAGTCTCTACCCTCCAGCTGCGCCGCTGTATGGAAACTTAGCAAGAACCAAAGACTGGAAAAACACAACACGTGGATCAGAGCCTTACTGGAAGAGCATGCGGAGTCTTTGGGTGCACACGCGTCTCAATTCAACAGAGCCCAAAATCAGCTAGACATTGTCTGGGGTGAGAGTAACAGAGAAATCCTGAAAGCAAAACGGATTATCGGCTGTACAACAACTGGTGCGGCCATGTATTTCGAGGATATCGGTCAGACTGCCCCAGGTCTGGTTCTCCTTGAAGAAGCGGGAGAAATACTGGAGCCTCATGTGCTAGCCGCCTTAACCCAAGAAACGAAGCAGCTGGTCCTTATCGGAGACCATCTTCAACTTCGACCGAAGGTTAATAGCTACAACCTGACGACAGAGAAAGGCGACGGTTATGATCTCAATATTTCTCTCTTCGAACGATTGATTCATGTTGGATATCCACATACTACGTTGTCGAAGCAACATCGCATGTGTCCTGAGATCTCGACTCTGGTACGCGGCCTCATGTATCCTTGCTTGGAGGATGATGAAAAGGCGACGGGTCGCGCAACCCCACGGGGTCTGCAGGATCGAGTGATTTTCATTCAACACAACCACCCGGAGGTGAACTTTGCCGAAATCTCTGATAAACGGGATGAAGGATCCAAGCAAAGCAAACGCAATATCTTTGAGGCTGAGCTTGTACTGAAGATTGTGAAGTATCTAGGGCAGCAGGGTTATGGAACCGACAGACTGGTTGTGTTGACTCCATACTTGGGACAAGTGCATCTCCTCCGAGATGAGCTCAGCAAGCAGAATGACCCAGTTCTAAACGATCTGGATTCATACGACCTTGTACGCGCAGGGCTTGTATCGCAGGCGAATGCACGTCACTCACAACGCCCAATCAAGCTATCCACAATTGGTGAGTGAATATCACTTGTTGTACTAATGCCAGGTACTAATATCACGAGTTCAAAAAGACAACTACCAGGGCGAGGAGAGCGAGGTTGTTATCGCATCGCTTACTAGAAGCAACAGGCAAGGGGATATTGGATTCATGGCAGCTCCCGAACGTTTGAACGTCCTCCTTTCTCGTGCCCGTGATATCCTGATCATCGTTGGAAATTTAGAGACGTTCCTCTCCAGTCGAAAGGGCCACCAATGTTGGAGCCCACTTTTCGACCAACTGAAGTCAAACGGGCACATCTACGACGGATTGCCAGTCCGATGTGAGCAGCATCCGCAGGTGACCAGGGTGATTGGAACCCCATTGGGTTTTGACCAGGAATGTCCGGATGGGGGGTGTGCCGCACCTTGGTAAGACCAATCCCGAGTAAGCAGCATAGCCTATATGATGCTGACGATAAACAAATAGCGGGGTTAAATTGAAGTGTGGAATGCATGAGTGCCCGTTTAAATGCCATCAACTCTCAGATCATTCACAAATGGAATGCCGAAAGCATGTAGCATCACGGTGCTCCCGTGGACACCTTCGTACCATGCCATGCTATCAGATCAGCACCGCCTGTCGATCCTGTCTCAAAGAGGACCAAGCACAGCAGCGACGACACGAGCGAGACGCCAGATTGGATTTCGAGCGCCAGAGGAAGCAGACAGAATATGCGCTGAAACTTGCAGAGGCGCAAGCTGAAATTGCTTATCTGAGAAACGCCCAGAAGAATGCCTTTGAGGATGTAGAGCGTCAGAAAGTCCTCCACCAATGTCAGCAGGAGATCGAAGATTTAAAAAGCATTTCCAATTTTAGAGCTGTGGCAAACGCCACCGTGACAGCTACCAACGTGAGTGGGCTTTTGTCGCCAGCAGATACCGTGAGTGTACCGGATAAGATTGGACAAAAATACCAGGAAGGCGTGAAATTCCAGATCACGCAGGGGGAGCCCGAGGAATCCGAGACCGCTTCACCCTCCAAGGATGATTGGGAATATCAGAAGCAATTTCTCAACGCCCAAAGCGATGAGATTGACAGCCTTATGGAACTGATTGGCCTTGAGTCTGTCAAGAAGAAATTCCTGGCGATTAAGGCAAAGGTGGATATATCCATTTCACAGAATGTCACACTGGATACTGAACGCTTCGGAACTGTGTTTATGGGGAATCCTGGCACAGGAAAAACGACGGTTGCACGACTATATGCCAAGTTCGTAGCATCTGTCGGTGTTATTCCAGGAAGCGAGCTCTTTGAGACCAACGGCTCGGAATTGGCCAATGGCGGAGTTACCGCCTGCCGGAAAGCCCTTGATAAGTTACTGGAAAAGGGCGGAGGGGCCTTCTTCATTGACGAGGCATACCAACTAACCCAAGGAAATTTTGGAGGTACACAAGTCCTTGACTTCCTCCTAGCTGAAATTGAGAACCTTACCGGCAAGATCGTCTTCATCCTAGCGGGATACCAGAGGCCCATGGAAAAGTTCTTCGGCCATAACCCGGGCCTGAAAAGCCGCTTTCCGCATGAGCTAGAATTCAATGATTACACGGATGGTGAATTGCTAGAGATTCTCGGACGGGGAATTCAGAAAAAGTGGCGACAGCAGATGAAAGTGGAGGACGGGCTTGGCGGACTGTACTGTCGCATTGCGGCTCGTCGAATTGGGAGCGGCCGGGAGACAGAAAGCTTCGGGAATGCCAGAGCCGTGGAAAATGCAATCTCAAAATTCGCCGACCGCCAATCTGCCAGGGTGAAAAGAGAGAAACGGCAGTCTGGCATGAAGGTCGATACCTTCCTCTTGACAAAAGAGGACATCATTGGGCCGGAACCGTCGCGAGCCGTGGAACACTCGAACGCATGGAGAATGTTGAACGAGATGATTGGGTTGGATACTGTGAAAGACTCTGTGAAAGCTCTGTTGGGCACTATTCACTGGAACTACGAGCGTGAGCTGCTTGAGCAATCCCCAGTGGAGTACAGCCTGAACAAGGTGTTATTGGGATCCCCTGGTACTGGGAAAACCACCGTGGCAAAACTATATGGTCAAATTCTCGTGGATATCGGGATGTTATCTAAAGGGGACGGTTCGTATGTCGGCACAAACTTTGGAAACTTTTGGTCTAATCATATCACAGTCGTGGTGAAGAATCCCTCGGACTTCGTCGGGAGTGCCGTTGGCGAGTCGGAGAAGAACACTAAGAGTATACTTGCCGCAACTGTTGGAAAAGTTCTGGTTATCGATGAAGCCTATGGTCTTTTTAGTGGTGGAACTTCCGATGGAACCGGCACCGGAAGCGACATGTTCAGATCTACGGTTGTCGACACCATTGTGGCAGAAGTACAAAGTACCCCTGGAGAAGATCGATGCGTTCTGCTTCTTGGTTACCATGATCAAATGCGTCAAATGTTTCAGCACGTCAATCCTGGTCTGAGTCGACGGTTCCCCATGGAACAAGCGTTTGTATTTGAGGATTTCACGAAGGAGCAGATGGATAAAATTCTCAGTTTGAAGCTCAAGACCCAAGACCTTGGTATCACTGATATCGGGCGGCGAGTGGCCCTGGAGATGGTTGAGCGGGCCCGAAATCGATTGAATTTTGGCAATGCGGGTGAGATCGACATCATCCTTAATTCAGCAAAAATGCGTCTTCAGAAACGGATCGCTTCTACCACAGGTGGTAGCTCCGCGCTTCCAATTCTAGATGCCACGGATTTCGATGAAAATTTCGACCGTGCGGATAAAGATGAGCCAAATTTGCGACAGGTGTTTGAGGGCGTCGTGGGATGTGACGAATGCATTTCAAAGCTGGAAGGCTACCAGCGACTGGTCAAGCGTCTAAGAAACCTGAACGTGGATCCTCGCGATGAAGTGCCATTCAACTTTCTCTTTCGTGGCCCCCCAGGTAGGCTTCCAGGCTTCATGGAATGGCAAACTTTATGGTTGTTATTGATACGTGACAGGTACAGGCAAGACAAGCACCGCCAGGAAGATGGGACAGATCTACTATGACATGGGCCTATTATCCTCGGCAGAAGTGGTAGAATCCTCAGCAACGGACTTGGTCGGCCAATATGTCGGGCAAACAGGCCCAAAGACGCAAAAATTGCTCGAAAGTGCCCTGGGAAAGGTTTTGTTTATTGACGAGGCATACCGGCTTGCCGACGGAAGATTTGGCCAAGAAGCAATGGATGAGCTGGTTGACAGTATCACGAAAACAGCCTTTTTCCACAAAATGATCATCATCCTTGCGGGCTACGACAAGCACCTGAACGAACTCATGGCAACCAACCCAGGTCTTACGAGTCGCTTCCCAGAGGTTCTGCAATTCTACGCGCTGTCTTCGGGGTCATGTGCCCGGCTCCTCACCACACTCTTGTCGAGCCGAAAGAAGAGCCTTCAAGAAAAAGGAAAAGTTGAGTTCGATATGAGTGCCCTTGAACAACCCATTACGAAATTGGTTGTAGCCATGGAAGCCCGGTTTGAAGCTCTTTCTCACACCGCCGGATGGGCAAATGCGCGAGATGTCGAGACCGTGGCAAGGACAATTTTCAAGAAGGCTCTTCAGACTGGTGAAAGTGCGACAATCTCAGTGAGCGAGAACCAAGTGCTGGATGCTCTTGATGATTTACTCAGCGATCGCACGTCCCGAGGAAGAATGCCTGCGCAACTGCCACTTCGACAGAGTATGGCACCAGAGGAAGAAACTCTCGAACCCCTATACCAGCCCCCTACCATCATATGTGCAGATTCCATATCAATAGAGCACGGTCCCGACGAAGAGCATACGCCGATTCCAGATCCGAATGCTCAGGTGTATTCCTCTGCCGACACACGGGACGCCGATGTTGATGATGAGGTCTGGCAGCAACTTCAGCAAGACAAAGCGACCGCCCTTGCACTCGAGCAAGAATACTCAGAACTGCAGAAAGTCGAAGCGACGCAAAGACAGCATGTCCAAACGTTCACTGAACAAGCACTCGCGGCCCCGGCGAATCTCGACGACAATACTAAAAGGCTCCATGAACAAGCTCGGCTACGGCGGGACGCTGAGCTTAGAGAGCAGGAGGCAATTCTTGAGAAATTGGTAAAAGAGAAAGCTGCTAGAGAGGAGAAGCGGCGCCAGGAGGAAAGAAAGCAGCAGAAGCTGAGGGAAATGAGGGTTTGTCCCGTCGGTTACCGATGGATCAAATCAAAGAAAGGGTACCGGTGTGCTGGTGGTAGCCATTTTGTTTCTGATGCGCAACTGGCATAGGAATATTTCTGGACTGGTACTTTTTTCGCTTGATGGTCAACCTGGAGAACTATAGCGATTGACAGAAAGAGCTAGAGCTTGGTAGCGATGGCTCTTCTTGCTCTACATGCTTCCATATAAATACGGACACAATGTAGCCAATCATTTATCAGGTGCTCAGCAGCTTAGGTACTCTTGTCCCCTTCTTTCTTGAGACTCTCTATTTTCGTTGAATGGTGGTACATTTGGGATCTTTCTAATTTTTCTGGCCTAAAACAGGGAAAGCAAGACACGTAGTTTGCCATGTCGCCGCCGTCAATTTCCGCAGGAAAATTGAGGCTGAGCGTGATCATTCGAGTGGCGAATGGGTCGCTGAATATGCTGCTGTTCTTCTATGCGTTGTTGTACTAGAGCTTTCCGCTTCCGCATCTCTGTTGAAGCTTCCAATGACGCACGTCCGAGTTACCGTACATTCACTAGCCCCTTTAATTGTACAAATTCGGTGAGCCGGTACTATTCTTCAAAGCAAATCGCTTTAACCCTATCTATGATCACGAGCATTATGAGCATATAAGCTATGATATATTTTTCTATGAATAACACTACGCAACATTGAGGTTCCATTACTACCTCCTTGATGTCTTGAAGCACATCACGAGTCGGAGTAAAACAATGTCATGAAAATGGATACTGGCATTGATTGAAGGTGAGAGTGAGTGAGCACACAAGAGAGTCTGTATCATCTAGTTTCGGTGTGTTACGGCACCATATTCTGAGTCTGACCCGAATACCACACGAATGCTTGAGGAATTGGGTGAACATCAAACAACCTTATCCCAAATAGTTCTTAGCGGTATTTGACCACCTCTACAACTTGACACTTCCTTTCCTGTATTTTGGTTGAATAACAGGTCAGGAGTGATTTATAGCCTGAAAGTCATATAGCAATGACGTAAATCACGTTGTAGATGGTAAGCTATGATGCTGGGGTGAGTGAAGCGTTGTCGGGCCGGACAGCCTGACTTGTGAGGACACAAAAGGCGGTCAGCGGTGCGACCCTCTGTGATCCCCTCTTTCGCCCTCGCCTCACAGGCAACCTCTTCAACGATCCCCTCCGACAAACTGGACGACCTGCGACTAGATATGATCTAGCCATCTATACAACTATTATAATCGCTGCCACCATGCCCCCAACGACCACTGTAAGGAATCACCCGCTAACTCCTGCACTCCGCCCTCCATGTCCAGCGCGCCACCAGCTGGACGCAACGCTGATCTTCATGAGCGCATAAACCAACTCGACTCGCGTGTACTCGAGCTCCAATCTACCGTCCTTACCAAAGATGGTTTTGTCGACCGCCGGAACCGCGAGGATGACCACATTCGTCGTGAAATGTAGACCCAACGTGCTACCTCCCATCGTCTTGACCTCAACGTCGTGGCACTGCGCTCTGATGTCGCCCAGATAAACTCGCGTTTGGACCCAGTGAACTTGCGTTTGGACTCTATGGCGTCGCACATGAGACTCTCTGACCGTGTCCGTTTCAACTCTCTCGCCCACACCATTTCTGCGCCCATAAGCTCTGTTCCTGTCATCACTGATAACGGTGTCCTTGAATGGCCCAAATACTTTCCGCGTACGTTTTGGAAGTTTTGGTGTCTCGAGAACAGAAATCGAGGTACGCGTTGATCAATGAAATTACAGCCCCGTTCCCCTTTTTAACATATATATATATATAGTTCATCGTTTGGTTGAACTCGCAGAATTTTATCAACTGGGTGGTTACAAGGATGGTCTCGGATGCAGCAGACCGACATATTCGCCGATAGCGACTCAAGCGACTCCAGCGATGAATCAGCCGTTATAAGTCGAGAAGAAGCCGTCCGTTGCTTCCCTGAAACGGCACATCGAGTACTCGCCGCCACTCTTGGTCTTGTGTACTACAAAATTCGCAAAGAAGTGGGCGAAGGCCCTGATGACATACCTTCTCGTCCGCTGAAGCGTCAGCAAGAAAAACATGCTTCCTCAAGCCCAGGCTCAAAGCCTAAGCATGTAAAGATGCCACGTAAACTCAGTGTATCTGACACTTTCTTGCGACGGTAGATCAATGGCCCCCCAGTGGCTGAGTCTCAGTCATCCGGGTCCGAGGAGTTTGACGAGTTGGGATGGAATCCATTTTCAGATGTCTCCGAGGACGCGATGAGCAAGCTGCGATCAATTGACCCGCAAGACATCGGGGCTGTCCTTCGTGCGTTGGAACAAGGTCGTCTCAAATTGAAGCCCAGTAATTCCGAGAAGGCGGGCATGTCTCCCGCCGAGTCCAAGGAGTCCAATGTCAGCCATGGGCGACTAGCCAAGTCAGTTAAAAGTCCGATGTGCCTACCGAGTCAAAAACTCCTACCCAGCCTATATCATGACCGTCTCGCAAGGCTAAGTCTGGTCCTGAGACTGCAAGCGGTTCCAATTCGGATAGCGCAACAATTTGATTGCTGCGACATGCACGTTACTTTTGATTTACGGTCTCCCCCGGCCGCAAAGCATCGCCGTCATCCAACGCCCGACCAATCCCCGGCCTACCAATTCTTCATGCTATAGCTGCCCAGCTGCAAACCTGTCAATATACGGACTACACGATCAGAACCATGAGGTCCCATCGCCGTACTCCGTTCTATCGCCTGTCCTGGTGGACAGAGAAAAGACCGAGAGAAGGATCCGTTAGCGGTTCTATGCCCGCCCATAAGGAAAGCCGACGTAAACTAACGACACTGCCACGTTCTTAGAGGCTAAAAATCTGGAGATTACCATAATGCATGGCGGGCATGCAAAGACAGAAAACTCCAACGTCAACTTCTATTATGGGCCAATAGCCGCCAGTGGCATTATCCCCTGGATTGTGATATTGATTAGCAATACTCTCGACGAGACAACAAAAAGTTGCGTGACAGTCAGCCTACAGACAGTGCGGTAGATGCTAACGCCCGTGATCCTATTTAAGAACCGACTATGAGTCCTAAACATTGTGGAATGCCTCGATACAGTGGTACAATGGAAGTCGACGGAAGAAAAGTAATAGAAGAAAACTTAAAAGAACCCCAGAGAGAACATAAAGACAACCTGCAGGTTGTAGTGATGGAAGTTTGAAGTCTAGGCACCTTCGGAATAGGGAGGGCAACGATCCAGGAGTCCAAAACGACATTTAAAGCAGCTGCAGCGGCTACAAGTGGATTTGTCGCCACATATTTCCCTTTAACCCCCGTCCCAACCGTTCCAGTTATAAGTGACGGGTGAGCATTGAAATGCAAGGGCAAACACGCAAGTGATCCAGTAAAAAGATGTGACGAAATGCGGCGCATCCGATCAGATGGGAAAATCCGGAGGTGAAACAATAGGAGGCAGACCTTCGTAAGAGAGATGCAGGCGATATAGCGGATTTCCTGAGTATTGAAAAGCTGTTCATTATCTGTTAAAAAGTGTGCGAAATTGCGTTTGTTGGACAGGTATATTTATAGAATATGGGTAATACTCTGAAACTGAAGAGTCCGTGTCAGGCCTGTCATCCCAACTATGAGGATCGTCAATGAGGTCCTACTTGTGGCTGGATTGATGACACTTACGCAGTATCGAGCCAACATTGATTGGGATAATGCAGCACTGGTGCATATTAATTGACAGCCCTTATATCGATACACAGACACATACACTGAGAAGAATAGCTATTCAGCCATCTAAGCCTACCCCCAGTTTCATGACCATGAGGCGAGTGTATATTCTTATAGCGACGAAGACTAAAACGCCTAGGCCGTCCGCTGGGATCACAATAATCGACGAGATATGATCTCGAACCGGAACTCTCATATGGTGTATATAGCTTGGCATCCTATTTTTGAGCTCCTAGGATGCCCACCTATTTTACCGCCCCTCAAGTCCGCCATGAATGGAAGATTAAGATGATATAAAGTTGACAATTCCAGCCCTTAAATTACCGTATCAGACCCCCTACCCTGATCAGAAAACTGACCAAGTCAAGAATCGTATTCAGATACCACACTGCATTCTACCTCAGATTATTAAGAAGCGTTATCTTACACTCATCTAGGCTTTCAATTACCATGGCTGAATTGATAAAGGCGGACATCTCTAATGCAGATGCGGCTATCGCAACACGTGACGGAGCTATTGCTCTACCGGGACGACTAGAATCGGGCAAGCACGAAAATAAAGCCCTTCCATGCCTTTGCGATCAATTATCTTGCGTTGTAAATATACTTGAAATATTTGCGGCAGAATTTGACAAACCAGGCACCTGCAAACTCAGCTTCGAAGCTCAGCATCAATTTCGAGCAGTAGTTCAGAGCAACCAACCCGCCTGTGCAAGATTCCCAGGAGGAATTCGAAGAGAGCCTCAGAGAAGAAAACACCCACTCAATGACTCGTTGTACTACTCAGATTGGGACTGTTTTCATGACCTTAAGGGCATCGAATCCCGAATTTTGGGCGAACGGCTACAAGTCTTGGGAAGTACTATGATCACGGTAATGGAGGTCTCTGCGGTCTATGTCGAACTTCTGAACTGCCTGACTTTGTGCGGGTGGGCTGACTGAGAAACTGCACCAGTATTCATCTCTGACCGTGATTGGACTCCTTTGGTTGCTAAAGAAAATGAATCGTTATCAGCGATGATAAAAAAAGAACGAATGGCAACAAGCCCATCAAATTAGGGAAAGGGTGGTCGAACGGATTGCTTGCAAGATGAGAGGGCACGGCACTGGGATTATCCGCCAGCGGCAGATTTACGATGAATTGTTGTCCGAGTTTTACGAATTGCGACGGGGACAAGAAGCCCGCTTTTCAAGAGAAGATTAGATCTCGCAGAATGTGAAAAATGGCATAACAGAAGAAGCTGACTTGATCGTTTACGACGGCGCCATATATAGAGGCTAGATACCTTCAACGTTATTGGGGAGAGAACGACATATTTGAGAATCAGGAGAGTTATTATTATCGTTCTTTCCTTTGCTTTCCGTATTCGATCTGCGACGGGTGATTTGCGCGGTGACTTGCTCCTCATACAATTTCCAACTAATGCGAGAAGCCCAATGCAGGAAGCCCGAAAAGCCCTGGCATGGATCATTTCTACAATTGATTCCTCTTATTCAGTCCAACGCTTTACGATTTAGCAGTGCTCTTCATGTATGTCGATACGTTTCCGGACTAACGCCCAGGCATACGCAGATCAAATTCAATTGCTATTTCACACCAAAGGCAATTTACTGCATTGAGATGAATCCATAGGATCGATCAATTCATTCCCTTGCCTTGTGATTCGAGGAATCTGGAACTACTCAGATTCGCACCGAAATAAGACATGGCAGTGCTATGCGGCAGCAACTGCCTCGGGATATGCTAATGAGCTACTTGGGACAATACAGACAAAACACTTATATGCCGATTTCGCTAAATTAACATGCTTGTTTTGCCAACACTCACAGTATTCATCATATTTCACGAATTTGAATGAATTTCAGTCATTGCAGCCTCCAAAGAGATCTAAGTAGGATTAAATGCGGCCTGAGATGACCAACACTCGTACGCTACTCGATCTCCTAGGCTTGTAGTCTCGTCAACGGATAATTCTAGGTTATTTAGGAAAGAGTTTCCACAGCTAAAGCACGACAATCGATCCTCTCATCTTCTTTAGAACCCTATCTGGCAAAGAGCAAGCAGAACTTTCAAAAAAGATAGTGGCACGTAAAAGACTGGTGCAAAGGACGGGCAAGTCTAAAGAATGTAAGGTCAAAATGATTTCGAAACTACTGTAGGGTAACCAAAATATCTTTAGAGCCCCAATCCGAAAGGTGTACTGCACGGACGGCATTGGCCTGCTCCGCGGAATGAGATCGAAGAATTTCACTACTGAAAATTTCGTTTCCTCGACGTCTTCTCGCTTCTCGTCACCTATACCCCATCAAAGACCAGAAGACTTTGCACATGAACTCCGCCATATCCACTCTGCTTTACTAAAATCCGTCCACAATGAAAAGGAAATTCGGCCACCACGAGAACTTTGACATCAGCACATGCATTGGTTTTGTCTAGAAGTTGCAGGACTGCGGACATTGTGTTTCCCGTAGCAAGTACGTCGTCAACAACCACAACTGATGCCCCTGTAGGGATCGTATCCAGACCTATCTCAATGTTTTTCTCTTTGGATTCTGACACAGAGAGAGAGGACGATATATGCGATGCGGACCTGGAGACAGAAATGGTTGGCGGCGGCAGCTTGCCTGCTTCCCGGATCAAGGCCAAAGATGCACCAACCCGCAAGGCGAGTGCGGAGGCAAAGACAAAGCCGCCAGCTTCGCAACACACTATAATATCGACACCGGTCCAATCACCTATGAACTGAGATTGCAATAACGATGTGCATAGATCTAGTCCACCTGGTTGCTGGCATATATCGAGGACGTGGCGGAACTCCACGCTCGGCCGTGGGAAGTCGGGCACCAGGGTCACCATTTGGGCGAGTCGATGAAGATCTTCGCTGACGAATGGGAGTAGGTAAGTTTCCGCAAACTTTCTTGCTCCTTGGTCTCCAATCTCGTCATTATCGAATTGAAAGGTGGGCTGGTGGCTTGAAATTCGGCCTGAGAATCCCTTGTTTGGACCCATGACAGTTTTGCTACAACTGCCATTATCGGTGGCGTTGCAGCCTCGACGAGCCTTCTTGATTTTATGCGAAGCTCTGACATTCACTTCAATCACCCTAGTGGTAGGCACCAAATGCGACAGTGTTGCAACCGGAGTGTCATCTCTTATTCCCGTAATCAGTAGCACGTCGGCATGTGCGGCATTGTGTACCACATTCAGGAAATGCTCCTCGGGAAGCTGTGGTCTCTGCCGGACCTGGTTCTGGTAGAAGTCTGTCAACAAGGGTCGATGACGCTCCTTGTAATCACGGTCTCGTAGCAGAAGGTCCAAGCTGGCGCCAGTAGCTGCCGCATATTCGCGCTTGGTCATATCGCTGATGCTGATTGATGTTGCCGTTATGTGGTTTGGAGTCATCGCTGTCAGGACAGAAACCCAGACGTCTGCGCAATGATCTTTCCCAGCACCGCTTTCACCAGTGACGAGGATGATGAGCCGCTGCGCAGCCGGTTCTTTTGACAATGGACAGGTATATGCCAGCACCCTGAACGGATCAACGGCTTGCTTGAGGCGCACTAAACGCTGCCGGTTTGACCCAAATGCCATCACAGATAATTTCGCGTCTCTGGGGTCCGGTCCTAGGTCTGCACCATAAACTCCACGACTCAAAGGTAACAAGTTCTCCACGACGCGGTATACCCACCCCACGGCATTTCGAGCGACCTCACTTCCGTCGTGGTCGCGAGACCACACACCTGTTACGACACAGGCGTAATCCCAGTCCCGACAACCAAAAGCAGTGGCATCGGACCCCACGCTACCCACTGCTCCACCCCCGTGAAGTAGATGGACGTAACAAAGCGGCGACGGACGGTTACCAATAGCCTCAATTAAGACCTTGGTACTTCTCCGAGCTCCGATGCCGTTCAGAAATACACATCGCTTGAACGAAGAAGTCTTACCGCCGCCGTGGCCGCCATGCATCTTAAACATGTACATCTCGGCCTCGAACACATCTAAGCCGTTCATTGATTCCGAGGTTTCTTCTGGCCCCAGAGTCGTTCCCCCTGGGATGGCCATAGACGGAGAGGGCATCAAGCTGCATGCGGATATGGAAGACTCGAACGTAGTCACGCCAAGATGCATCTTGCCAGCTTGCCAATATAGATATGCGTCTGCTGAACAATGTCGCGGCAAAGTTCTCGCAAAAGCCTCTTCAAAGTTGCGAAGCCTGAGTTGTGCGTCCTTTTCATCCTTCAGCGGAATGACCCAGGTTCGAACCTGATAGGTTGGAGCAGGGAAAGACTTGAACGTCACGCTGATGACTATGCCAACATTCGTTCCGGCCCCTCGCAGTGCCCATAAAATCTCCATTGCGTTATCGGGCCGGACAGCTGCGGCCGGACAGTGTTGCCTCGGTACGTTCCCGACACAGAGAATGTGGCTAGAATCAACGCTGACGATCACGGCTCCCACGATAGCGTCGCACGCGAGTCCGTACAACCTAGTCAAATGCCCAAGTCCTCCCTGTAGCCACAGACCCGCGCCTATGCCTGGACGAGCACCCAAGGGTACTGTCACACCAGCCGCCATGGTTTGACGAATAATATCTCCTGTCTTGCACCCAGCTTCAGCAACAATTAGGGGTAAACCATTAACTCTGGGTTCTGCTTCTCCATTCTCAACCGGACAAATATGAATTTTATCAAAAGCACTCATATCAACTGCAACGACATGAGGCCATAGGCAGTGAGCACTGTGGCCCCCGCCGACAACAGTGAGACCAGTTTTGTGCTGAAGAGCCCATTGAACGCAATTCTGAACTTGCTGAATCTCTGTTGGCCTAACAATGGATGCGGGTCGATGGAGGCGAGCTTCCCAGTTTTTGACCGGCAGATCTCTTTCCAATAATGGCACCAGAGTTGCCAGCTCCCGCAATGCAGTTGAGTGTTTGGTGAAAGCCACCATCAAATTCGGTGAGCTGAAAAAGAGAGAATTTGGCTGAGCTTCTGTACGTCGACTCATCGTTTGGCACGTCGTACGCCACTCGAGGCGGGTGGCACTGTCTCCCTCACCGTCCTGTAAGACAAATCCTGCAATAAACGAAGCAAAAATATCCAAAATATTGTCGTTATTTTGTACGCGAATCTCCCCGGTAGGAAAGCGAGCCGTTCGATGGCATACAAATTTGTCAAGGTCCAGCTTCCCGTCGCGATGGAAAACGACCACCAAACCCTGTTCGGGCGGTTCAACAAGCATTTTCAGTGCTCGTTCGATAAACTTGGTTTTTGGATTCATGCCGTACAGACTGTGACAGAATAGAATCACATCGTACCTCTCGCCATTGTCACGCGTGTCGCCTTCTCGGTTCCCCCCTATGTTGCCATGTGAGACGAATGGCACACGGTGGATATCGGGCAAGCTCTCCAGGCAAGGAAACGGCGGTTCCGTTGCCAAGTTCGAAGAGAGCCATTTTTCCAACTTCGCAGCGAAGACAACGTTGGGTTCAAAAGCGACAAATCTCTTGATTTTCCGCTTCAAATGACAAGGCAGATATCCAAGAACACTTCTTGGCCCTGGGCCTATTTCTAGCACCGAGATACGAGCACGTGAGCTGAAGAGAGGCTTCAGGAGCTCCACCATTTGGGGAATAATAAAGTCTTGATAGATAGCCCTTCCCGAGTCTTGTAAAAATATATCGAACCCAGCACTATACTGTGTGTCAGATAGTGGTAGCCTCGACGATATCTTTTCCTTGGCTTTCTGTCTCAGGGCTGACTTGAGGGAGTTGATATTGGCCATTTTGACTGCTGTATAGATGGTAGATGGCGTTCAATTTTCAAACTAACGAAATTTGAATGGCGATGCACCCCTGGCTTAAATATCAGCACGTCAGGCCCAAACATGTCAGAAGGCGCTGGAAGCAGGGTGATACGTGGCGCTATCGGCCAGGTTTCCTGAGCTGACAGGCATATTTGCGCGTGAGCTGGCACCACTTCGTTATGGAAGGTATCATGCAGGCAACCTGCAGCTCAGCTACACGTCACAGTTGATAAAAACTAGCATATTTCCGGCCATGTTTTCGCACTGCAGTCCAGAATATCATTACATTACGGCCTTCAGCTGATGACATGTGTCCACTAGGCTTAGACGCAGCTACCCTGGTATATTCCGGTAAGCCCAAGCTCTGGTGCTTAACCTGGTGGCCCCTGCCAGTACGAGGACCTGGAGTCGTCCACGTGTCCTTGGTGCTTGTTCCTTTACCATACTGATTCGTTTACTGATTCGTTGGGATATCCACCGTCAACCCTAAAGCTGATACCTTCGTCTGGAAGATGGAAGAGGTTCAATCAACGGACACTCTACGGTTTGTTGTGGTAATCGTTATTTAAACGTTGCAGGTTGCACAGTCTGCCTACAAAAGTGTGATATGAATTAGACAATGGTCATCTTTGAAAATTCTGATTTGCGATTCCCGCTGTTAATTCAATCTGGCTTCGGCAAACGGGCACAAAGAAGATCAAAATCAGGTGATAAAAAAAAGCATCAAATTTGGGCTAGAAGTGCCAGGAACTCCCCTCTAGTCTGCGCGTCTGAGCGCATGCATCCCAGCATGCAGCTAGTGGTGGTAGTGCTTCCGACCTTCTGTATGCCGCGCATACCCATGCACAGGTGGGAAGAGCTCATCACGACGCCGACACCTTGGGGCTTGAGGACATCTGAAATGGCAATAGCAACCTCTTTGGTCAAACGCTCTTGAACTTGGAGTCTGCGAGCAAACATCTCTGCGATTCGAGCTAGTTTGGAGAGACCAAGGACGCGGCCGTTTGGGATGTAACCGATGTGTATCTGCCTCGTTATGTCAGCCATATACGCAAGTGACCGGTAGCGAATCTTATACCTTTCCAGTAAATGGAACCATGTGGTGTTCGCAGAGAGAAGAGATATTGATATCTTTCACAACGACCATTTCATCATGGCTCTCATGGAAAATAGCCCCATTAACCAGATCCACAACTCTCTCCTCATAGCCCTTGGTGAAATAGAGCATGGCTTTAGCATATCGCTCTGGAGTATGGAGTAGACCCTCTCGCTCCGGGTTTTCACCCACGCACTTCAGTATTATCCGCACGGCTTCCGCAAGCTTCTGAATTCGCTCTTCATTTTCGTTACCAATCGACGTAAAGGGCCCTTTTTCGCTGGAGCCTAGATTTATAAATTGGAAAATGTAAGTCTAACCTGTCCACAATGGTTCAGTTTAACATAGCTTACCCGGCCAGCTCAGATCATTAAAGTCAATGGGTAGGTTTTGACCATGAGCACGATCGGAAGGACAGATGGTCGACCGTACGGTCAGTTGTCTACTTCCAGCTGGGATATCACAAATAGTAGTTGATCGCTCGTCGATCATAATGATCCAAACAATCAATAATATCTCAGCAGGCTAGCGCGGAATCTTTGTGTACCTAGCAGCTCCTGTTTCTGTTTGGAGGGAAAATGTAATGATGGGCCACGGGAGGAGATAGGAATAGAGCATAAGTCTCTCCTTTCGCCTTCTACCACCGAAAGTCTTTAAGTGGAGAGAACAGTGCTGAAATGAAATGACTACAGACCCGAGCATTTAAAAGAAGGCATCCGGGCGTCGAAGGGTCAATCGCCGCGCAACACGCCAGAGAGGCTCTAGCATGGCGTTAGGTCTTTAGACCAGGGGCCAGTGCTTGATAGTATCATCTGATCAAATACTACCATAAACTAATCAGACTGCTCGGAGGAGGTATTACCAAGTATTACCGGTCACGAAATGATGCCTAAAATTTGATCTTAGATGGCGGAAATCTATCGGTGGGTGATAATGCCCATTGAAGCTATTGATGCCAACCTATGAGTTTTACCCACGTGAACCCCTCCTGACTAGAGTTTGGACTAGAACTCGGAATCCCAGCGTGAAATACTCCTCGGTCCAACCAACAACCAATTTTTGCACGATCAGAGACGCTACATCGACTATCATTCAAAGTCAAAATATGGCTGATTTCAACGATCTTTCGCAGGATTTCCGAAACCTGGCCATTGGCAGTACAACATCCCTTCAAAAGCCGTTATATAGCGCCCAATATAGTGTAGGGCTTCATTTCTTGGTGCAAGTTCCAGGGTGGGTCACTTATCGAGAGTTCATTATCCCTCAACTCTCAGAGCTACTGGTTCCTCTGTACGCGTCTCATATTTCTACCTCGGTATCAGAAAGATGCAACCCTTGAAAGTAACGCTTTAGCCGAGTTTTGGCTCTCGAATTCAATATCAACTGAAGATCAATTGGTCTTCATAATAGTAAGGGCAAGGAAGGATGAATGCAAAAAAGTTCCTCTTTCATCCTCTACGGCTCAAACCTTTCAGGCAGAATACCCTAATCTCTGGTCATAGCCATGATGCATTTGTTTAAACATAACATAGGGTTTGATACGAATAGCAGCCTACAAGGACTAGCATAAGCGGAATTAGCAGCATCATAATCCATGACCTGATGAATATGACTCCCTCACTCTTGATTCAGGCAAAATTACTAGCATGATAGATCCGTGAAGGGATAGGTGACTAGAGTAGAGGAATCCCCAGAGAGTGCTTTTTTATTATGACTAAACAATAGAAAGCCAAGCTCTCCTGACATTATGCCGGTGTAGATTAAGCGATTCGTGGGGGGCTAAAAAGTTTGTACATAGTCAGCTTAGGGTCCGCTATGGCTGCGATAAACTTCTTCCAAAGAGATCTTTCTCCGCTGAATTATCATAAGGGATGCTGATCTGACCGGAACGGCGGCAACTGGTTAGAAGTTTCTCGTGCTGACATTGCTGTTATTAGTACCGCTTTGTACAGCGCTGCATGTGGTGAATGCTATATCTAATTCAGTATTAAACGACCCTTACAGTCATCGCTTGTCTCAAAAACCGCGGTTCGGTATTAGAACATTACTTGAGACACTGGGTTAGCGATATCGAAGAGGCAACTCAGCATTTCATGCGGGAGGCCGCTCATGCTGGAGGCCGCTCATGCGGGAGGCTGCTCATGCGGGAGGCCGCTCATGCGGGAGGCTGCTCATGCGGGAGGCCGCTCATGCGGGAGGCTGCTCATGCGGGAGGCCATCCTTTTGGGCGGGCAATGTGATACTGTAAGAAAAAACTGAAACTGTCGAAATTTTTCCATTTAATGGTATTTCGTGTAATGTAAGCCTGTTTAAGGCAGTATCCCGAATAGAGCCATGACTCTCTATTGATCTTGCTGATCGAAGCTAACGAGCCAATGATCACATTCACAGCTCTTCTGACACAGCTCTATATTATGCTCACCGCAATTTCATCTTATCTTAATAGAACGGCAAAGACTAGAACCCTTAGCTCACTATAAGAGCAAGCCATTGGGGCCATACCGAGGAGACATTTTTGAGATCATAACTCCAAGATGTCCTCATCGATGTGTCATGAGAACCGACTCGGTATGTCTTAGAGGAAGCATGTTGTTTCTTGCTGCTACAAACATCGTCGAAAATACCAGAGAAAATTCTAATGATTCCAAGATCAAGATTTGGAATATCATTTAAGTTTGCTGAAAATTGGCAACTCCAATGATGAATGCGAAGACGCCCTTCTCGCTCCCATCTTGACAAGCGCAGTGCTTAATCAACTTGCACTCGCTCCATTGCAATATGGGCTTCTGGGGGGTGTAAAGGAAATTGAGACGCCTCACCAAGTTGGCACAGAAATTCAACCACCGAACGACGACCCCCGAGTATTTTTCAATGTCTCATCCCCCTCTAGTGTATTTATCTGCGGATCTCAGGGTTCTGGAAAAAGTCACACCCTGTCCTGTCTGCTTGAGGGATGTTTAATCCCCTCCAGAGCTGGGAGACTTTTGAATCCACTCACAGCTGTTGTCTTTCACTACGATACATTTATCTGTGACAATGGTGGCTCACCCTGTGAAGCTGCTTTCCTGGCGTCTAATCCGACCATCACAGTCAGAGTCCTCTGTTCTCCAACGAATCTCCGAACTATACAGGTAAAGTGAGCATAGATCCCACACGTTACGTTGCTCATAACGCTATAGGGAACCTATTCTAGATTCAACATCAAAGTTGAGCCGTTACAGATAGACCAGTCCGATCTCAACACTAAACGTATGCTGGATCTTATGGCAGTCGATCGAGATAATGGTGCATTTCCATTATACTTGCATGCGGTACAGCGAATTTTGCGAGAAATGCGGCTATTGCAGCAAAGTGCAGGATCTAAGTTTGACTATCAAGATTTCAAGAGCCGAGTCCTTCGTTCGGGGCTTCTGCCAGGTCAACTTGAGCCTTTGAAACAGAGGCTGGACACCCTCGAGAGCTTCATGGCACCCCAACAAGCAGGGACAAGCTACCAAATGAAAGGGAAGCCTAAGAAAAAGAACGCTGGCTCCAGCTGGATACCAAAGGTAAATCTCTTCAGTCCTTCAGATTTCTCAAAGGTTCATCATAAACTAGGCCTCACAATTGACAATCGTCGACCTTTCCTGTCCGTGCATCTCACCCGACACGGCCTGCAGCCTCTTCAACGTCTGTTTTGGGATTTTCATGGAGCAGGATACTAAAATTGGCAGGATTGTAGCGCTTGATGAGGCCCATAAGGTGCGATATACAACTGGGATTGTAATTCTGTTGACGTTAATTGGCTTTCAGTACATGAAGGATTCCGTCAAAGCACAAGGCTTCACGGATACTCTCCTCTCAACGGTTCGATTACAACGCCACCTCGGCGCGCGAATCTTGATCTCGACACAAGAACCAACAATCTCCAGCGACCTCCTCGGCCTGTGCTCCGTCACTATTGTCCATCGATTCTCATCGCCCGCATGGGCGCATACATTGCAAGCTCATGTGGCCGCGGCCGCCTTGAGTCTGCAGTCGACAAAAGAGAGCCAAGCAAATCACGAGGCTGGAGCGATTGGGATTCCCACAAAGCTATCTATCTTCCACCGGATTGTACACCTTCAAGTGGGCGAGGCTTTGCTTTTCTCACCCAGCGCTGTGATCTGTGTTACACCTAAGCAAGCCGATTCGTTGGGCATGATCAGGCTAGGTTCGGGCTATGTGAAAATCAAGATTAGGGATAGGCTTACAGAGGATGGTGGAAGAAGTGTTCTTTCCTCTTAGTATGGTAGAAAGTCCACATTCTGAGGGTGGACCGGGTTCTTGTCCTTGCCGGTTGAACGCGCATCCAATGTCGTACAGATATCGTGCGGGGATGATACTGTATATATAGAGCAACAGTCACGAAAGCCGGACCAATTCACTGGTTATACGACATCATCAAATTACTCGCCCCTATAGTTCTCTTGGATGAGATAAATCGGGTTGTAGAGGGCGTTTACCTTACTAGGAATTGGTAATCGCCACTACCATCATCTATCTCTGAGACCTCACAAATCGTCAAAGATCTTTTTGGTGACTTGAAAGGGGCATATTTTGCATGATATTATAATTGTTCATCGAGCGGAAAGGCTTTCACAGAGAGTTCTTCAAGGGCCAGTGCTTGTGCGTGCTGGTTGCCGCAAAATAGCATAGGTGTGCATAGGCTTCTCTCAAACCTGAATATGCTTGTCTATCCTCTCTCAGCCTTTGTAATACAATTCTCAAGACAGTCTTATCCGTATCTGGCAAACCAATGTAAGCCTTCCAACATAAATACCTTGAACCAACCAGATGCCCTATTCTGGCTGAGAAAGCTTAGAGGTTTGGTCTTCTGCCTTTTCCGATCATCAACCTTGTAATTGCAAGTACGAAATAAGACAGAATACGGAAGTTTCGTGACCCGTCACTCCAACACAAGCTAACATGAGCACAACACTGCTATATGAACAAGCAGCAAAGCGATCATGTCCCTTACCAGAGTCTGTTCCGGCCATGCAACGCGCATTTAGGGCTTTCCGGTTTGAACAGTGTCGTTGAGGTGATGCTCTTCTCGAGTCGATACCAATGCCTTGAGAGTCTCAAAAAATGGGGTTACTCTTTGGGCTCCTTCTCGATGTTTAGCCCCTTCAGATTCATAACCAGGCTTTTAACCGTGTCTTCTTCGCTTCCCATCTTGGCCAAGGCCGATGCCGGATTAATCTTGAGGCTCGTTGCCTTCCATCCGTCATGTAGCCCTTTTCTGATCTCCCATCGCCATACATCAGCGTATGCATCGTTCCAGTCTTCAATGAAGCCTCTGGCCTCGCGTTCGGTATTGAAACGCTGGTGACACGCGTTCGGATATCGGCTGGTTGACAATTCCACTGCGCTACATCGTGTTATTCAGCCCTTAGTTCGCTTCGGCATAGTGCTTACCTCCAATCTCTGAAAATGCCGATTGTTCGGCCATTTGCAACGGCATAATAATGAGTTCCTCGACATGGCAGGGTAGTTATGTCGTCTGCGGCACATTTCAAAACCTCGCCAAATTCTTCAAATCCCTTTCGTCTCATTGAACGTCGCGCATCTTCAAGGCGGTCGAAATCTTCATGTTCTGCGCCGTCAAAACCTGTCACTCTAGGATGTACATGGCCCCTAAGCGAATCAATTATTAACGAGGACATCACTCGTCCCAGAACAAATCGTGTTTACCAAGAAGAATATATTGTTGGTCTGTCAACCCGCCCCTTGTATACGGCGTAAAATTTTCTTTCATGATCATCCCGTGGAGCCATTGCTAATATAAAGTATCGGGTAGAATAACGAATATACTGTAAGTTCTCTTGAAAGCTTGAGATGTAAAAGAAGTATGATAAGTACTGGCGAGGCTTTTATTTCTCTGTAAGAAAAATCTTTGGGCTTGTACCGTTGTCCTTGGAGGAAGGGGGTTTGACGTGTCGCTGCATATGGGGGCTTCTTCAGCATATGCCTTTGGGGAGACGAGGAAGTGAGGGTTACTGCAAGATACACCCGAAACAGTTTAGTCTCATGTGTGACTTGGCGTTCTCCGTTATGCTCGGGGGAATTCCAGCTTTCCGAGAATTGGGACTTTCGACACCTTCCTATCATGTTGAGCAGGGACACCATATTCAACGTAATTCGTTTAAATCGCGTTAGAAACCAAGCATAACAACTGAAAATGGAGGAGGGGGAGTTTAATTGCGGTGTTGCAGATTTGGACAAGCCCCCGAGGTCTTTTATACGGTCAAACAGACCTAGCGCTCAAACGAAAGAGCATTTAAGAAGCTCCACAGTGGGTTTCCAACCATTCCCCCCTAAGGGAGCGATAACAAGGTCATTCCACAAGGCGCAAAGAATTGACGGAAACATAATAGTATCCAGAACATACATAGAATCTCGGACGAGGACATGGTAATGTCTGTCCGTCAATAAATTTAAATTGCCGAGCTTATTGGGTAATCTTTCGGTTCAATTCCAGTAGCCTCGGAGCAAAGCTGTTCCGGTCCGTTAGTCTAAGCGAACAGTATCCACTAGTCCAAACACCATTTCCGTCACTGTGGCTTTCCTCTGGCCTGCTAGTTAACTAACTAGTTAACTAACTAACTAACCAGACGGATATATTGCTTAGTAATCATGTTGCGCACCAATTGGAGATCAACAAGTCTGAATCGTTATCATGCGCTTCTCCGGAGATCCACCAATACGGCTGCTCCGTCCGCCATGTTAGCAGGCGGTCGGATTTACCAAAGCTGCCCCTATAGTTCGCTGGAAACCGCTATCTCTCCACCATCCTGGAACGGAGAAATCAATACCACTCTAGCGAGTACGCCGCGGAATACAAGAGACCCTCGTTCGATCAAGAGAGAAAGAGAAAGCATATAAGTGTATGGCCTTTGGAAAGCCATGAAGAATCCCATTCAAGAAGGAAGGCGAGGGTGCTTAGCGAATTTCTTAATGTCCTTCCACAGACAGGTCTGTATCGGCGGACGTGTCCCATCAAGAGGCCATTTGTAGATGGTTGGCGACGCCGCACAAACATTGGAGGCCAAACTACTCCGTACTCGCGGGGAAATAGGACTTGAACAGCTCAGGACTCACTTTCATTCAACCCACTCTCCTATCCAGTCTCATGGTGCCATCCGCGCCTTTAAGCTGGACAGGCCGAAGTACCCGTCCTGGGTCAACCAAATTCCTGTAAGTTGAGAACGCAGTAAACAACATTTCTGAAGCGGAGAACTGTGAGTACTGCTGCACACTGTACGTGGTCATGGTGTACGCGTCTGTGATGTGGCCTTAACTGATTGGGTACTTCACTTATCCTGACGTTTTGCCACGTCTGAGCTCGAACAGAGCCTCATTCCCCGCTCCGGCATTCCTTTGATCTCAGTCCAGCTCACTGTTATTTGATGTTATCGCTCTGTCTGGAAGTGAAGGGATGACTGACTTTCCCCGTATTTGTGCGCACTTGTTGGCCTCAGAATCAGCCTACGAAGAACTGATAGAATTGAAAGAACAAGTATGCTCCAATAGGCTTTTATATAAGACAATCTTTACAGGATAATCCAGATAGCATGGAACGTATTGGCCAAAAAGACAAAAATGGGTTGACTGGAATGTAGATACCCAAGTATACTTGACCCTTGCATGACACCCGGTTCTTCCACTGGAAAGGGCAAAAAAGGGCTTTATAGGGCAGTCACCGTTATGGTTACTGTTCCTTCAAGAGACGCTAGCATCGAGCTCATAATAAAACAAAGCGTATGTACAAGGCAAGGGAAGAAATTCTACTACAAGGTGTGCCAGCACATTCTTTGGATCTGATATCTGCTTGGGGCAGGCCAAGCAGTGCCAATTCCTCGCAAACGCCTTAGCTGGGAGCAAGGCACCTCCGGGGTCTGTCCAAGATCTGCACCTTAAATTTGGATGTTTGGCATTACGGGTGTCGTAACACTGTGTATCTCAGCCAGCTGTAGGGTAATTCAACCTTCCGTATGATAGTCGTCCTTCCTTCAATGAATCAGCTAAGTCACCTGGAATCGGTTCTTCTAGCTGAATAATCAGTTGCCTATTCCAACCCACTCTCGTCCTGGAAGCTGATCTCCAAAAGCGGAACAGGGTCAAAGGAAGCTGTCGATATGGATTCACTCCTGAGCGGCCTATCCTGTGAAAAGTTTGATCGTGGATTCAACCAGCGAATAAACATGAAGTCAACTGTAGGATTTGTTCTTCGATGTGCTGAATGACAAGAAGGTTGATCGATTCTAACATAATAAAGATCAACTGTGTTGAATGGTACAAGAACTCGACTTGCAGTGTCTCAGAGCATTGTCTTTTCGGGTAAAAGCCATTCCACACGAACAATAAATGAGAGTTTTGACGCCCCAAGCCTTCTCTGCTGTCTTCTTGTGAGCAACGGCGACATGCCGCTGAACGTCTCTTCTCTCGGCCGCAGCATAGAAACATAACTTGCATTGAACAGGTAGTACATGGATCCGCATATGTTTTCTAAAGAATCAGCATCTGGGATATATCTGTATCGGGCAGGGAGCTCACCTTAAATCACACTTTCGAGTGAAGCCGGCCTTGTCATGACATCTCGATTCTTGGCAGTGAAAAAGTCCATCGTGTGACGATGGCGCGATATTATCATACAAAGGCATCTCAGCCTCTTCGATTATAGCATCGCCCATAGATGACACGTCTGGAGCGATGAAGCTCGTTGCTGCGGGGTTTTTGCTGGTGAGATGTGTTGGACTATTAGGAATGACATCGGACTCTGGATAATTCAGAAAAGAATCTTCACAAATCTTGCTCTACTGAGACTCATATTTGCGAATAATCTCGTCCATTTTTATCCGATCAGTTGCCAGATAATCCAGCAGTATCTTGAAGGCGGAAAATGCGGTCGTTCACTTCCTTTTCTTGCATTTCTAGTGAAAGATTTGAGGATATATATACACACTTAGATAGGTCGCAATATCCGTTCCGGGCTACATATCGAAAGGCCCGTTGTGCTTATCTGTCATTCGTCCACGTCATCGCTAAATCAGTCGACGATCATGAATGACTGCCAAGTTAGTGAAGTGCACATGCACAGTGTGTTGGCTAAATTTACTCTACGAACCAAGCAATCATATCGCGTAACTAGCTGAGTCCATTGAAAATACACTAGGATATTTTTGGCACCGTTGCGCTCAATAGGGTCAAATTTATAGATTTCAAATATCATACCTTTCTAAAACAATCTCGGAATGTCAACTCTGCTAAGTTATAGCGAAAAGATGGTTCCTTCCTAAGCGCAGACGATCCACCGACCTGGCCGCGCTAAGTTGAGGGCCGCCATAATGATTTTCCAAAATTTTACTGTGCCCACTTTATTTCAAAGCTTCAAAATCACCGAATATTCGCAGGGTATAGTATACATTTCCTGAGAATGATACGGGAACATAACTATTTAGTTAGAATATGAGTCTATTGGGTGTACATTGCTCAATCAGCCAATCAATGGATGATTGCTATCAGCGCGAGGGTCTTGGCAGTGCATCCCAGGAATGAAAAGCAATTGTTGAGGAGGGGCCGCATTTTACTAATAAAAGTACACTTTCAGGAGAAAAATATAAGTTCATATTTCACAACCTTGGATGCAAGCAATTACCCACGATTGCTGCACGTTGCTCTCTGGTTGACAATAAGGGAGTGCTTTTCAATATGCGTGTCGGCAATATGAGGGTGCTTCGTTTCTTGAAAGAAGTTTCGATCAAGTAAATGGTGATGGGGACTCGGCATTTCGTTGAGATACTGTCCACGGTTCCTTATGAAGTGTGAGAGCCTTTCAAATGCCTGGATTTAGCACTCATTCTAGCAAATTCAGGCAGAAAGAACACCTCTCCATCAGGTACTTGCTTTTCATCGTCGTGTCTGAATTATGTTCTACGAGAAAAATCAGGAAATACCCATGTTACTGCCGGGCCAATGAGCCCTTTTGCCATCTGCAATGAAGAGTGCGGTTTTCATCGCCTACTCTGGCAGCGCAGGACTTTGGGAAATAACGACGGGGCTGCTCGCATCGATTTCGCACCTTGTATTGGAACACTGTTTCATATCTCTGACATGTTGGCAACGCCCTTCATGTGGCAATCCCGCATTATGGGCCTCCCGCATTATGGGCCTCCCGCATTATGGGCCTCCCGCATTATGGGCCTCCCGCATTATGGGCCTCCTGCATTGTGGACCTCCTGCATTGTCGGACTTCAGCGGGATAAAGTTACGTTGTGTCGTGCGTTTCAAGCGGAACATCACTGAGCCTAGTGTGTGTGCTGGAATGCACGGAACATGTTCATTGAGATACGACGAGTGGAAATATGTTGAGATGAGGAGAGATGGGATACATGGAGCTGTAGCTTATGCCAGCCAAAAGAGTAATATTGAAGATAATCTAAGATAACCCCCGAGGAGGAGTGTGCTATACATACTTCCCGAAGATCCACGTTACCGTATAAGGCTAGTGTGCCTCAGGGAGGACTACCTACTATCTACTAAGGCCTCAGCGGCATTGAAGTCTGCTGAAACCTCAACACACCCCCTCAGCCGCAAGATGGCGCTGGGGACATGTAGAGTAGAAGGTGCAAAATGTCAAAAGAACGACATGAAAATCGAACAGATGCTGTTTCAAAGAAAAAATTTCTCGGCGCTGTTGTAGCTGCCAGAGCTTCTACCATAGGTGTTGAATCCTTCTAGTAGGGCGAATAAGGCTATTCATAGCCTGTAGAAGCGTAGCCGATCGATGAATTCGGCATGCTTGGTCTTCGTCAATGCCTTGGTAAGGCCATCTGCCACTAGTGTACTGCCAGGTGTATGTCTCAAGTGCGTCTCGAAACCGGTGCACCTTCGTACACACTTCGATTATTTCCTCATCCGGAATGCCAAGTTCAGCCAGTCTATATACGGAATAGCGCCAGCGCATTAATATTCCTGTATCCTTTTAATACAACCTCTTACTCACGACATTCTATGATGTCATGTTTCAGGACTGTATGGGCGATCCACGCAGCTAGGGTGATATTACACTGGGCCTAGATCAAAAGCCCCGCATAAAGCTCGGGAGATTGATTCTCCCCATTTATTTGTACTTAATTCGTTCTTGTTACTTTTCGTCTTATTAGAAAATATTTCATGCTTACTTTCAAGCAACCTACGACGTTCAAATGGCGCTTCTTCGTTTGCCAGATGAATTGCTGCTCAAGTTACTTGGTACTGCAAAAGGACATAAACTCTTTCGCTCAAGCCAACACCCGCCTTTACGATCTTCTCAATACCTATCTCTATAGGTACGATGTGGAACAAAACAAAAGCTCCGCTCTTCTGTGGGCTGCAATGCGTGGACAAGAGGCAACAGCCAAGAAGGCAATAGCTGAAGGAGCCAATGTCCAACTTCTCTCTGAAGTTAACCGGACACCGCTTTCATGGGCAGCCTTTAAAGGCCATGAGGCAGTAGTCAAATTACTTCTCGCGACGGATGGCGTTGATCCAGAGTCTAGAACCTCAGGAGGAGAGACTCCACTTTCTCTGGCGGCGTGGAACGGCCATGATGAGGTAGTAAAGCTACTTCTCACCACAAAGGAAGTCAAACCAGACTCTAAAACCTCAAGGGGAGAGACGCCGCTATCTTTAGCAGCATATAGGGGTCACGAGGAGGTAGTCAAGCGGCTGCTCGCAACTGACGGCGTTGATCCATCCTCTAGGAATTTCACCGGAGAAACACCGCTGTCGGTAGCGGCTGGGAACGGTCAGGAGGGCGTGGTTAAGCTACTACTGGAACAAGAGAGTATTGATCCGAACACAAAGAACTTACGAGGGGAAACTCCACTATGCTGGGCCGCAGGCAACGGACACGAGGCGGTTGTTAAGCTACTGATCATGAACAAGGTTGATCCAGAATGTAGGGATGCTGACGGACGAACACCACTGTCGCTAGCGGCAGGGCGGGGTTTTACAGAGGTGGTCAAATTGCTACTCGCGGTGATAGGGGTTAATCCAGACTCCAAAGATCTTGAAGGAATGACACCATTATCATGGGCGACGGGAGAGGAACAACAGGAGGTAATCGAGATTCTGCTGGCCACAGAGGGCATCAACAAGGACGCGGTCAAGAGACCCCGCCTTCGTTTGCGAATAAGAGCACCTTCGTTTTGAAAGCCATTCGATACCCTCTCATAGGTTTAAATTCTGAATCGAATTCACCCCACAAAAAGAATCACCATCTAATCGAGGAAACAATCAGATTTTCGGGTGATTGATAATGTGCGAGGTTCTAGTGTTACTGAAGTAATTTTTTGTGATCGACCACCTTTTTATTGGTGTTTTGACGCTGCCAACCGTTTAGATAGTTCGCCACTGTGGATCATGTCATATATTAGCTCATGCTTCGAAGGAGCTAGGTTTAGAGCCATCTTTGGTTGGACTCGTGATTAATTGTCAAGGACATCTCCAAGGAAAGCTGTTTTGGAAGAGGGGCACGGAGGTGTAAGATGTATTAAATTTACAAGGGAATGCATACCTGCACTTTTTATGTATTCTACATACGAAGCAGTACACACCAAACTTACAGGATACTCTAAAAGAACTCCCAATATAACTAGTGTGTCTTGGCGCAAGGGGAGGAAAGTCAATCGAAGAGCGTTGGTAGTTGCACCAGTTTCGGGACGCACTGTACACCCTTCCTTTCATTCTGAACAATATTAGATTTCCACAACCAATGTCGAAATTCTCTCAAGGCTCACCTTACAGTGTTGGCTTAGTAAAGCTTCACGAAATGGAAGTTTGCGGGTTCTATACTGATGAAGATGATCTCTTATATATTATTCAGTCATCCTTATAGTGACTCGTCGAACCTAGGATTCCGAGACAGACCGAATGTTCGAAGCACTAAATCCATATTCTGAGGGTGGTGTATGATCAGTGTATTCCGGAGTGGGTGCAGATTGCCAATCGTGGCTCAACGCTCTGGGCGTCCGAGATTGAGATTAAAAACGGTCGGAAAATGAAGCGTTGGCAGCACTCTCCAGTCGAAGGCAACGTTAGCACACTAGGCCTCTTGGTTTCAATAGGCGGTGGGTTCAGCTGAAGAGTTCAGCATTTTCTTGAGACGATAGTAAACGCATTGCCAACCAGATTTGGGTTTTCTACTTATGCACGTCTTTTCGATAATTCAACAAGTTCTGTCAGTGGGATCAGAGGAGTTGACTGAAGGTGGAATGGTTTTAACATCGTGGCCAGAAAACAGGCTGCCCCGTTTTCCTGGGATATTGGGTGTGTTTGTTAGGGAGGA